TATGATATCCCTTGAATATGAAAATTAGGGATTGAAACAATCGTTTCTGTTTGATAGATTCAAGATTAAGCTGACTTAATTACTAACTCAGCATACTCAATTGATTTAGGAAATTTAAATAATGTTCTAAGTATATAAAAATGTACGTTCAATTTTATCAGATAAGGTGCTTGACAGCCCAACAAAAAGATGAGAACAATAATCAAAATGAGGAAGTATATGGGCCTTATATATTCTCATAGCAGTTTTACTATCGATAAAGTTGTGTATTCTTCTAAGAGCACCAGCTTTGGGATGTATTTTACTAAGGATATTCTTAATATGAGTAGTATATGATAATTTACTGTCAATTGTCATACCAAGCAATTTAAGTTCGTCTTTTATTTCGATATTGCTATTGTCAAGTGATAGGTCAAAGTTGTAATTTGACGATCCAAGGACCATGGCTTGTGTCTTGGTTGAGTTGACTTTTAAGTAGTTGCAATTTAGCCATTTAGCAAGTAGAGACAAGTCCTCATTTGTGTATAACTGTAGGTCAGCAGGGAAGTTGCTTGAACAGTAGGAGGTGGTGTCATCAGCGTAGAGTCTTAGTTGCATGTTTTTGGTGATGAAGGTAATATCATTAATATGAATATTAAACAACAGGGGTCCGAGCAAGGACCCCTGCGGTACTCCACATCGTACTGTACGCCATTCAGAGAAGATGTTTTCCACTTTGACATCGGCCGATGTCAAAGTGGAAAACATCAAAGTGGAAAACATCGGCCGATGTCAAAGTGGAAAACTTGAGCGATGGAGTAGAAACGCCATATTCTTTCAGTTTTCTTAGTAATAGGCGATGGCAAATCGTATCAAAAGCCTTGCTAAGATCGATTGATAACTACAGATACGATTTGATTCTCATCCAGAGCTGTTCTCCAATCTTCAGTAATCTTTAATATGGCTGAACAGGTTGAATGACTTTTAAGGAATCCTGACAGACTATCAGAGAGTAAATGTGGTACAAAGTAATTATACAGCTGATTATACATAACTCTCTCAAATATTTTTGAAATACTAGGTAAAGTTGAGACTGGACGGTAGTTAGATTTATTAGCCTCACTATCCTTCTTAAAAACAGGAGTGATGTTACTTTCTTTCCATTTATCGATCCAGCACGATTGTTCAATGCAGTAGTTTACCAGTCGGGTTAGTGGGGTTGCTAAGGCAGGCGCGGATACTTTTAACAATCTTGGTGGAATATTGTCTGTTCCTGTGGCTTTCAAACTATTTAGATCAATTAACAATTGTAGGACATACTTGGTAGACACTGGATGAAAACTAAATAATGTACTTTCAAGTTTGTTTTCCATCATCATTTTTTTTATTTGATCAATACTATAGTGGTGACCAAAATCAGCTTCTATAAGATCGGTTGAGTGGTTGAGACCAGATTCAACAAAATAATTGTTGAAGATCTCAGCAACGTCACTTTGATTGTTTTAAATCTGACCATCGTCCATTAATGTAATCTTGCTCGACGTACACTCACGTGAATTTGGCAAAAGCGGTTTAAGTCTTTTCCAGAATTCGCTGGGACCAGACGATCTGGATTTCTCAATGGCAAAATAGTGACGAAGGGCTTTACGTTTCAGAGATGTTACTCTGTTTCTCTGCCTTTTAAATGCGGTCCAGTTTTCTTCTGTACGATTCTTTAGAAAGATGCGATATAAGCGACCACGACATGATGTTTCTCGTCTGATTTCGGTGGTTATCCACGGAAGTTGGTCGCCTCGTTCACGCTTTCTTTTAACAGGCGAATGTAAATCCATTTACAGGGATTGCCCCTGTAAAACATCTCGTTGCAGCACCCACATGTACCTTCACCACCATTACAGATTCATCTTTTGAGGGCTCCAAAAGGGCACAGTCAATTTCCACGATGGACTCATGTTGCTTTTGCAATGACCTACATTTCAACAAGACAAAAAGTTAATAAACTGTAAATCCTTTGTTAGCCGCCCTCTTTGGACCAAGAAATAAATGATGATTAAATGCTTCTCTAAATGTCGTAATGTATTTATTTATTTATTTACACAGAATTTTAAATGGCAATCTCTTTTCGTAGTAACATGAATGCAGTGACCTCAAGGTCAGATCAGCAAATGTTGATGGAGTGCTACCTTCAACATGGCTGCCTCATTTGAAATTAAGAGTTTAAAACAGATGGAATGACTCAAATGTACCTTGTTTTAGAGGCGATGGTAAAATCACTTCTAGTGAGGAAGACTTGGTTAAACAGCATCAGGAAGTAGATGCAGTAACTAATTCTGTGACAGCACCCAAGTAGTCCCTCAAACCACCCCCTCCTCCACTTTAAGGGTGATGATTAGGAAGGGGTGATGCAACCGCTTTAAAACCTTTCCGGATTTGAAGACTTAAAATGTTGCACGTACCTTCCCTTGCACTACATATTGCCTTGGAATTGATATCCAAGCCTTTCTTGAAGCCTCTTCTCACTTGAGAAGTGAGTGCCATCAATCATGATATTTTCTCATTATATGGTCGCATATCTTTTGTTGTTTCTCAAGGCGAGCCTTCTCGATCTGTAATCAGACGCAAGTGTCTTCTCTTTGTCAAGGTTTCTTTGTATTTGTTTCCATATTTTCCTTTCTCTTTTCATTCTTCCTATCTCCTCTTTTGTGTTTTCACGGCTTTTCCTACCCATGAACACCATAAAAAATGCTGAAAACTCTTTCTTTCTTCCTAGTTGTGTTTACCCATCTCTACAAAAACGCAGAATTTGAACAGTTAAGGGAAACTTAGATTCAGCATATTTGATTAATATTACTTATCACAACCAAAAAATTGTCAACCAGACCAGCTATTATTTGGAAGATGACAGTCGGCTAAGAATTAAGACGTACTTTATCCTTAATTGCAATGCAATTTTTCCTTTAGCCAAACTTTCAAAAATATTAAAAATGCCCTTCATTTTTCTGTTTATAACAAGTATCATGTATGGTTACTTAAAATTTTAAATTCAAAATACAATCAAGGAATGAAGCTTACATTCCTTTGATGGCACTGATATGAGGTTTTCAATAGCCACACTCCAGCATTCATGCGAGCTCAATGCCACAACTTTACCATATAATATATAAATTTATATATACAATTTATCTATATATAAATGTGTGTCCGTGTGTGTGCGTATGCGTACGTGTGCGTTTGTGTGCGTGTGTGTGCGTGTATGTGCGTGAGTGTGCATGTGTGTGCGTGTGTGTGTGCGTGTGTGTACGTGTGTGTGCGTGCGTGTGTGTGTGCGTGTGTGTGTGTGTATGCGTGTGCGTGTGTGCGTGTGTGTGTGTGTGTGTGTGTGTGTATGTGTGTGTATGTTTCTGTTTCTGTCAAGAAAAAACTTGTCCTCTTCGAAACCACAACTGTTGCGTTAGGGATCCAGGCTACGTACAATAATTGATGCAGTCGTACAAATATTTGAGACGTATGCCGCTATTCGGTCATTTTATTCTGGTTACATTTTCTAACCAATCCCTTTTTCCAGACAACTGCAAGAGATCATTTCACTGATATTTTTATCCTTTCGTGATCACGATTTTCATCTCCGATGGATGATTCTTTGCTCCGCTATCTTTTAATAAACTATTTTTCATTTATATTCATTTAGCTACGGGTAAGATAAGGAAAAATATTTCCTGTCGACTAAATTATGGAGTGATAGGTATTTTATTTACTAAGGAGTAGGAAAATATCGAGATCGTGGTGATGTATCAGTTCCAACCCCGTTCCCAGGGCCTATGGCCAACTAAGGGAAAAGGCCTTGGGAGCGAGGTTGATATCAGTTCCTCTGAACAGTCCCCTGAGACTCAAAGCAGCCCACAAGTTTATCGTATCATGCGGCATATGCAGTATTTTACAAAGTCTCTGTTGCTGGTAAAATATAACGCCAATAAAGAAAACTTGAGTACTTTTAAAATATTCAAATGATAATTAGTACTTGTAGTTAAAAGTATTTTTTAAACAGCGCGTTGCACATGTTGTAAGATCAATTTAAAAACTGTTTGTTTTTAGTAAAGAAAAATCAGACAAACAAACGATATCTTACTAACTAAGCATATGATAAAACGGTCATCTTTCCCACACAAAAACATTTGTTTTGCATCCTCGATGTCCGTTGTGGTCAATGGGCGGAAAGCGAATTCTAATCCGCACTTGGCGCTCTTATTGAAAGGGACACTGTCACGGGTTGACATGCGCAGTAGCATACACTCTCTCTGAGTCTTGTCACGCTCGACGGCCACTATGGAAATATCAGTGAGTTGAAGAATTCTGCATATATTTTGCATTTAAATCAAGTTTATCCAAAGCAAATGCTCATCAAAGTGAATTTCTTTTACTGAGGAACCTTCGGTGATCTTTTGTAAATGTAAAAGTGCTTGTACGACGAAGCGCAAAGGAAATAGTTCTCGTGGGTGCCCGTGCAAAGGGAGAAACGTGCTGTGTACAGATGAATGTAAATGTGGAACAAGCAATAAACCTTGCAGAAACAGGGTATGCATATAAAGTTGAATACCGCATATAAAGTTGTATATGTTGTAGTTCAATTTTATCCTTGGTTCAAATTTTATTTTCCTTTGTTCTCCGTCATGTTAAAGTATGATAATGAGTTTGAAACAAAGGAAAATAAAATTTGAACCAAGGATAGAATTGAACTACAACATATACATTCACTTCTTTTGAGGCTCGAATGTCCAAAAAGCATACGAAATAATTTGTGTATTCCCTTTCTTCAGGATTCGAACGAGCAGTCGTCATCTGCCTATATTTATGAAAGCCGTAGAGTTCGCCTCAGGCTTACCTGTCTTCCATTTATAATGTGTAGTAGAATAAACATCTGCCTCGCAAATGCTACAAATGTCTGTGATATCTGGCATTATTTTATTTTCCTATCAGTAAAATCGCTGTCGCTGAATGACTCATAACCTGCATCAAATTTTGCC